AGGTGGATGGGTTCGTGAAAAGACTCAAAAATGAGATAAAGAGAAAGAAAGACATTATGGAGGGAAAAGTAAAAAACAAAAAATCATACTTAAGTATAATCTGAACCGTTAAAACAAAATATATCTTTAATACATTTTGAACATTTTCAAAATCTCTTCTACCTTATTATATAGATATATGTTCGTGTACAAAACACATACATAAACACCTTATAAGGTTGTGATTCTCTCAAATTCAATTTGAAATTAAGAAAACTTGAGAGATCGTTGAGGCACACTATAGGTCATGTTTTAATGATCTGAACTGTAAAATGAATGAGACCCATGTATATTATATACGGGAAAAAAAATTAAATTGATTCAATAATCATAATCTTTTCATTTGCCACGTTTCTCAACAAAATGGATAGTCTATTTTTAAAAACCTACTTATTGTCTATTTTTTCAGAGATAACCAATATAAAATGAAAATGAAAAAAATTATGATTATCTGATAGACCTAACTTATTTTATGGATGACATATACTGAGATGTATAAAATGAATAGTTTGAATTATTGAAATGAGAGTGAGTCTCATCTCAAGTTCAAATCTAACATGAGAGAATACAACCCTCCATCTTCATGCAAAATACGATCAATCAAAATGGAGTGAAAGGAGTAAGGTAAGACAATAGGATAAGGGAGACTATGTAGATAATAAGGCAGAAAGGATTTTGAAAATGTCCAAAATGTATCAGAGATAGATTTTGTTTTAACGGTTCAAATTATACTTACCAAATATCTAAGGGTTAAGATGATTTTTTGTTTTTGTTCCCTCTCCCCCCCTCCCAAAAAAATAAAATAAAATGTCTTTCTCTTCTTTTTGAGTCTTTTCACCAACCCACCCACCTTCCCTCCCTCTTTCTTTTCTCTCTCACATCTCACCTCACTTTCCTAGATTTCAAATTTCAAAACACTCTCTCACTTGTGTAAACTTGTCCCGATCCACTTGGGCCCGTCTGGCCTCCATTGGATGATGTCATCACACCATTCATGGATAATTTCTTTGATAGACTTCATCTTTGTTACCATTTCCTCCTTGGACTTGAAAGATAACACCACATCACGACCACCTCCTTGTCTGGCTTCAAACCCATCTATTCCTCTAGCATTAAGCTCAAACTTCAAACTAATGTTTACACATCTGACTTTTAGCCGGACTAAGACACTGTCGTAAAGCCACCCATTACCATACTCCTCGGCATGAACTGTAATAAAGTCTCTGTCCTGTATCTGAATACCTCTTACCACGTCTGCGAATGTTTTGTTGTTGGTGAAGTGATATGAGCCTCTCCGGAATTCCTCTCTGAAATGTAACTGCGGTGGTTTTTGAGCATGGTACTTCCTCTATTCTCTGCTTCGTTCGAAAGCTGCAAGTTTCACGAATAACTTCTTATCATCCACCCATAGACCATCCGCCTTCTGCACAGCAGCGTTTGCAGCTACCTCACAGCTATATCTTACAAAACCAAATCTAGTATTGGTATTCCTGCGACGCTTTTGCGGAATGAAAATATCTTTTACAACTCCAAACTTCCCAAACAGGTTAAACAAGCCTTTGGTATTCATTGAGTTAAGTAGATTATCCACAAACACCGTAAAGACTACTGCACTGCCCACTGATTTCCTTGCTTCTTGCTTCCCTCTTTGCTTCACCACCGGAATCCATCCTCCGCTGCTTTTGAGCATGGTGTTCTTGAAAGTTTTTTTTTTTTGGCTAACAAAGTTGAACTCAAAATTTAAATAATAAAAAAATGAAAAAAAATCAATTAGCATGGTTATTAAGAGATGTAACATCATTAGAAATGTTTATGTTTACGTTTATTAAGAAATGTAACATCATTAAAATAAAAAAATAAAAAATAAAAGTGATTCTGTTAAAAAATATTTATGTGAAAAATGTTTTTTTTTTTCAATTGGGTTCTGTTTAAAAAAAAAAAATGGTGATAAAAATAGTTTATGTTTTACTACTATGGAATCTTTTCACAAGGCAAGTGAGAAAGAGAGAAAAGAGAGATAATAGGGGTGGTTTGATTTGTTTAAGGACTGAAAATAAGAGTTTTTTTTTTTTTTAACAAAAGTTTGTTACCCACCTTAGTGACAAAGCTCACGAGACATAACTCAAGCACTAATATAAATGGAATGCTTAAATTCTTACAATAAATTACCTTTTTTTGTTTTTACTTTAATTTTATTGGGGTGCATTTATGCTCGGGTAATTTTATAAAATTTATTTGAAAGTCGAAACTAACCGGACCTGTGTTTATATTTTGACTTCAAATTTTTAACAACAAATTTAATAAATTACATTTCAACTCAATAATTTTATATTTAATTATATTTTGATCTCATCATTAATTGCACCATGCATTTAGGCAAGGTCATATACTAGTATTAAAATATTGTGTAAAGTTTACCATGCAATTGATATAAATTAAATACTAATATATTATCTGTGCTATGTATAGGTATAAATAAATAATCAAAAATTAGTTTTTAAATTACAATAATAATATAAAATTCATTTAAATTATGTAGTAAAAATGATTTATAATCAATTCAATTTTATTCATTTTTATTCTAATATCATTAATTGTGTGTTATCCACCCAAAAATCATTAATTGTGTGTTCTAAGTTCTTAATAAAAAATTGCATGTCATAATTTAATTGGTAAAAATTAAAGAATAAATTACAAAAATTATATTTATAATAAAATATAAATACATTTCGTTTTATAAGTTTCGTAATATATTAATTTTTTCTTATTTCACAAAGCCTAAAATTTTTTTACTCAAAATTGTAAATTGTCGTATGTTATAACTCTTACGTGAAAATAGATTATGATTGACTTGTGATGTTAGACTGAACATTAGGAGTGACATAGAAGCTACTCAACTCAATATTTATGCTAATGTGACCTTTACCTGATCATTAAAAATTGTTTTTATCGGTTCATGACTGGTATGAGCTAGTTTGGGAGTTCCAATATTGGATTAAATATTAAAAATTGACTGGTATGAGCTAGTTTGGGAGTTCCAATATTGGATTAAATATTAAAAATTAGCCTAAAAAATCTAGTTCGAGTCGATTTTTTTTTTCTTTCAATAATTCTTGGTTTACGCTATAATACATTATATTGTAATAAGTCAATATCGTAAAAAACATCTTAATGTTTGCGGTACTTTTTATCAATCAATAAAAAAAATTATAAATGTTAAGAGAATTAAGTTCGAACAAATTCTAACATAAAGTTTTTACCTTAAAACTTTAAGACCTACACATTTTGTTTGACTCTATAACTAATTTTTGAGATAGCAACTAAAATAAATTTCAATTATTATTATATTGAGATACATGTGTGATAAGAGTTTGTAATATATAATTTTAAAAAGTAATATTAATTCAAAATTTTCAATATGAAAAATATGTACCCAACTTTATGTTATGTTTGATTCATGGATTTGGGTAGAAATTTGAAATGAGAAAGGAAAAAAAAATAGGTGAAATATGAATGAAATATAACTACATTTTACCTAATTTCATAAGCCTTTTCATTTTCCCTTTCAAAATTTCTACCAAAACCCATGAACCAAACATATCATCAATGTTTGAAAGGAGTTTTGGATCCTGTATTATATTGATATACACTATATGAAAAAAACTATATAATATTTATTGGGAGACGCAAGTTCTTGAAATGGATCATCAATCGCATTATAAGGGAATAAAAGGTAGCCAATATTTTTTTTAATATTTAAAAAATTAAACATCAAGAAAGATAAACTATGGAAGATGTAAATTGATTCATATATTTTAGTGATACAAAAATTTAAATTTTGAAACTAATCCTTTTCTAATTTCTAAATTTAAAATTTTAAATGGATTAATTAAATTTCTTTTTGAAATGTGTAAATCAAGACATAATAAGTTTTTTTTTTTTTTTTAAATGATTCAATAAAAGCTATAAGTTTTTTTAAAAAATTTAAAAATTGATTAATTAACTTTCCTTTTTCCAATTTTCTAAATTTAAATTACAAATAAATTAATTAACTTTCCTTTTGAAATGTGTAAAACAAGGTGTAATAAGATTTTTTTTTTAAATGATTCTACAAAAGTTAAAAGATAATTTTAATAATTTTAAAACTGTTTATTTAACTTTCTTTTTCAAATTTCTAAATTTAAATTTATAAATAGATTAATTAACTTTCCTTTTGAAATGTGTAAATCAAGATATAATAAGATTTTAAAAAAAAAATTAAAACTGATTACTTAACTTTCCTTCTCAAATTTCTAAATAGATTAATTAACTTTTCTTTTGAAATGTGTAAATCAAGGCATAATAAGATTTATTTTAATAATTCAATAAAACTTAGCTAATAGAAGATTTTTTAATTATTTAAAAAATAAGAATTCTAGAAAAATAGTATGAGGGTTTTGAATTTCACAAAACTTTTCTCATTAGAAACCTCATTTCCTTAATATATAGTATATATATTGATTGGAATGTTGATGCATATAAAACCAATAAACATCAAGAGAAAAAATCTATGCAAAATGTGAATTGATTCCTATATTTTAGTGGTACACAAATTGAAATTTTAAAATTGATTAGTTAACTTTTCTTTTCAAATTTCAAAATTTAAATTTTTATATAGATTAATTAACTTTCCTTTTGAAAGGTGTAAATGAAGCCATAATAATAAGATATTTCTAAGTGATTCAATAAAATCTAACTAGAACATTTTTTTACTTGTTTAAAAAATAAAAATTTTAGATAATAGAATTTTGAGTTTCACAAGCCTTTTCTTATTAAAAATTCATTTTTGCTTAATATATATAGATTGAGGTGTTAAAAGATAAAATAAGTAGAGTATATTTTAGGCATCATTGTGTAATTTAGGGTTGATTGGGACTTGAAGGTTTTATTGACTACATATTATTAGCTTATAAATTGCGTACCTTCATTGTGAGTCCAACCAAATCGTATCATCGACATAATATACATCTTTTATACTATCCAGAGAGAGCTCTGTCACGTGTCCTGTGGTGTGATCGCACGTGACTCTCCCAATCACAGCAATCGCTGTGATGGTCTGCTTTCTCATCAACCCAGGTAGGGAGAAGATGGTCTGCATCAGCACCGTTGGATTTGAGGAAGTTCTTGAATTCCAATGGACCCCTCCTCTCTCCTTCCAAACAACCATCACTATGTCCACTGACAAGAATCAAAACTATTAGTACCCACATGATACCAAACTTGCCCAGAAAAACCCACCCCATTTATGCAAAAATAAAAATAAAAAGAACTATATGAATGTAACCAACATAGTTCTTTGTATATATATATATATATAACAATCTATGCTGTGTATATGCAAAGCTTGATCTAACATACTTGGATTGGGTTGTACAGATGGCAAGCATCCCGTGGATCTATGGCTGATAATTATGGTTGGGTTTAGTGAAAAATGCTATAAACCCTAAATAAATTACCAAATATTTTACTAAATGAATCATGCGTCATGTGAGAGATTTAATAAAATATTTGATAATTCATTTAGAATTTCTAGCATTAACTCTAGGTCTAGTCCCGCAGACTTGGACTATTCTTGCCTCCACAACACTACACAAAGACTAGACTTTGATAGTTAACCTCAAGTCAATATCTACAACAAGTGAACGCATAATGTTTTTACACTGCAAAGACTAGACTTGAAAAAATTATCATCCAGTAGTATTTTTACGAAGTTAATAAAACAATTTAAAATTTAATTATTAATATTTAAAAAAACTTCATCAATTAATAATTATTTTTTTAAATATATATTGAAACTTAAAAAAAGAAAAAGAAAAATCAATGCAAGAAGACTCCATGGAAGCCCACTCCACTCCAGAGTATCCAGACACAAATTTTTGAGGAATGTAGTAGAAAGCACATTTGTTTTATTTGTTCTTTTCAGAATTGATTTTTATTTAGAGTTATTTACATTAAGGAGCAAATTTCCTTACAGTTTGGAACTTGTGTCATTTTGATCCCTAATTTTTCAATTGTAATACATTTGATCCTAAATTTTGAATCTTATTTCAAATAAGAACAATTGAAGATATCATTGCTTAATTTCAAGGGCAAAATCATCAATTTGATAAAATATAAACTAATTTGACAAAAATAAATGTCAAAAAAATATTTTTGAATTTTTAAAAATTATTTCTACTTACTAAAGATAAAATTATTTAAAATTAATAAATCTCTTAGACATTTATTTTTTTTTTTTACTAAATTAATTTTTATTATGTGTTTGGATGATGATCATGTAATGCGTAGTTGTTTTTATTTTCATTAAATTAATTTCTATTTTTTCAAAAATCAAATATGACGACAACTTTAATATCATTATTAAATCAATTCATTAAATTCAAAACTAAAAATAATTCATATATTAAATATATTGATTACACATTAAAATCCTAACAACCACTTATTACACTACAAGAAAAAGCATTTTTGCCGACCACTTTTAGCTACCAAAACTAATTTAGTCGCCAAAAGTCACGGAATTGGCTACCAAAAATTATATTAGTCGGCAAAAGTCAACTTTTTAGCTACTAATTTTTTTTAGTAGGGGAATGTTGATTATTGGCTACTAAAAAAAATTTAGTAGCTAAAGATATTACAATTGGCGACTAAAACAATTTTTAGTAGCTAAACATATGACAATTGGCGACTAAATAAAAATTTAGTAGCCGTAGAGGTACCTTTAGCTACTAAATTGTTTGGTAGCCGAATGAAAACAAAAAAATTTATTTTTAATCTTTCTCGACCAAACTTTTGGTCGCCAAATGTAAAGTTTCGGCGACAAAATTTCTTTTAGTCGCTGTATACCTACTTTCGGCTACTAAATTGTTTGGTAGCCGAATGAAAATAAAAAAATTAATTTAATCGTTTTCCCGACCAAACACTTTGGTCGCCAAACCTAGCTCCGTCTTCGCGACAAAATTTCTTTTAGTCCGCTGTATTACCTTACTTTCGGCTAACTAAATTGTTTTGGTACAGCGAATGAAAATTATAAAAATTATTTTTAATCTTTCCCAGACCAATACTTTTGGTCGCCAAATGTCAAGTTTTGGCGACAAAATTTTTTTAGTCGCGTATACCTACTTTTGTGCTACTAAGAATTGTTTGGTAGCCGATATGTAAAATAAAAATTTAATTTTTAATTCTTCCCGTACCAAACTTTTGGTCGCCAAAATGTCAAGTTCCGGCGGACAAACATTTTCTTGTTGTCCTGTATATCTACTTTCGGCTTACTAATACTTTGGTTTTGGTAGTCCGAAGAAAAATAAGAAAATTAATTTATTTTTACTTTGTTAATTTTTTATATTAAGAGTTGTTACCCCCACCATCCAAAAAGTAATTAAATTATCTCTTTTCTCTTTATTATCTCAAAATATTAATTTTTAAAAAAAAATTAATATATTAAAATAATACTGAATTTCTTATTTTGTACCTTTTTTTTAAATCCATTAAATGATACAAAAAGCTACAATTATGAACAATTGATACTGCCTCTAAAAAAATAACTATCAAAAGGTATATTTTGAAAAATTAATTTTTTAAAATGTAATAATTGCATTAGTAAAAAGAAATATAACATCTCTCGAACCATAGATTATTAATTTTTAGATGGAAGAAGTAAGTCGGCTCTTTCATTTTATGGTTGAACACATCTTTTAATAATTGGGCCTTCACGCTGTAAAGGTAAATGCTAAAGGGCAACTTGTTATTGGCTGTTTGTCATAGTTTTACATTGCAAAAAATTTAAAGGCATTAGTTACTAGGTCAGTCTGATAATTATTTAATTTTTATAATAAATTTATTTCTTTTAAAAAGTAAAATTTAAAACTATTGTATACTTTTACATCTCACTATTTCAATAACACTAATTAAATTAAGAATAAATCAACTAATCACAAATAAAAGACAAAAATATCCCAATTATTTATCCAATTTTAATAAAATTTTCATATATTACCAGTACTCGAAGGAAAATAATTCATTTTACAGACACAAAACATATATTTAAAAAGTTTTTAAAAAAAATGTTCATTATCAAAACGAGGGCTAAGTGTGTAAAAAAAATCATTCATGACTTATGAAGTAATAAATTATGTTGTTAAGACTTATTTTAAAATTTATACTTTCAAAATAGTTCTAAATTTTGTAATTTTTTTTTTCATAGAACTGAGTCATAAAACTCCAATAAAAGTAAAAAGTACTAAACAATAAATAAAATTAATAAAATATTATTTAAACAAGCCTGATCTATTTTTCATTGACTCGAAAAACAAATTAGCAGCAAATATGTCGCTCTATTTCTCCTCTTTTCTCTGCGCCTATCTCTCGCTCATCTTTTGTTTCTATCTCTTTTTCGATCTCTTCACTCTCTCTCTCATCTTCTCTTTCTCTCTCTATCTCTTTTCTGTCTACTCTCTTCCCTTGTCTTCTCGATCTCTCACTCATGCACTCTTCTTCTATCTCTCTCTGGTCTTACTGTCTATTTGTCTATTTCTCTCTTACTCTAGGTTCGTCTTGCCTCACTCTCTTACTCCCATCTTTTTCTATTTCTCTCTTACTATTTCGTCCTGCTGCTCTCTCTCTATATCTTTTCTTCTCTTTATCTCTCTCTCACTTATCACCTTCTTCTCTTTCTCTTCTTCTGCCTCTGTGTCTGCTGTTTGTCTTCTCTCACTCTTCTCTCTCTTTTCTTATCTTTCTATGTGTCTATCTGTCTGTTATCTCTCTCTCCATTGTGTTCACATTACTCACACTCTTCCCTCCATCTACTGTGTTCTCTCTGTGTCTCTCACTCATTCTATCTGCTTCTTCATCTCTTTTTCTCATCTCTTTCTCGTCTCTGTCTCTTTCGCTCATTCTCTCTTCCTCTTTATCTCCTCGGCCTCATCTTCTCCTATCTTTGTGTCTCTCTGTCTATCAACTTCTCTCCCTCATGCTCTGTGTCTCTTCTGTCCTATCACCTCTCTCTACACGCACCCATCTCTTCTATCCACTGTTCACCACTACTTGCAAACACCATTCCAACCACCAACTATACTTTTACTGTTCGCTTACTTCCTACCCTACACGACTACCATTACTGACTATTATCGCCACCCACACTCTACTACCACCACTACTTACTACTCGCTACCCACTAGACTACCATTACTACTACTACTACTATCAACCTCTACTGAAACAAAATAGTTGTTTTTATTTTATTTTATTTATGAAGAAGCTTCTCTTTTAAATAATAGAAATTAAAAATAGATAGCTTTTAATTAAATAAAAATGAAATCCATTAGTAGTAGGTATATGAATAAAACTTGGTTTGAATCTCTACAGTAAACTTTGTAAACATTTACTTCTCTTTCTTTTAAGATAATAAAATTAATATTTTAAAATTTTATTTGTAATCACATGAAATCCATTGGGCAAACATCTAAATTAATATGATTCACTTTGTTTGATTTTCAGGTTTTTCAGAATTCCACCTTTTTAGAAAGTTTGGTTTGTCAATTTCCAATATTTATATATATTTTTATGTTTTCACAGATTTTTTTTTATAAATATTTAAGCTACTTTTTAAAATTTTAGACACATTTATATATAAATACAAGCTTAAACAAGTAAATATTTGTGATTTTTTTTAAAAAAAAATAACGCTAATTCTAAAAAATACAAAAACATGAAAAATCAATATATTTTTTCATATTTTTGTGTATTTAATTAATTTTTAAAATTTTTTTATTTAAAACATCCTGAGTAGATGCTTTAAAAAGTAAAAAATACTTTAAAATTTTTAAAAAATTTCAACAAAAATAAAAAAATATGAAAAATAAATATTCAATTTTCAAAAAAATAAATTTCAAAAAAATTAAATACCATAATACAACCGATTTAATTTTTTGAATGACCAAAATTAAAAAAGAGAAACGAAATTGGTTGTTAGGAAAATGAGAATTTGCATTATTCTATAAAATTCCCAGCCCAAATATGGCAAGCGGCACACATCACTGCCCTATACGCCAAACCATTCCATTTACGCACTGTATAATCTCTCTTCTCTTCTCTTCTCTCTCTCTCTCTCTCTCTCCTCTCTCTAAGAGAAAGAATCAATGGAGGACTCAGTTCAACTGTATCAATCTCTGCAGCGGTACCTAAAAATCTATGCCCTAATCGGCCCTCTTGAATGATGTTTGTACTACTTGTTTGTGTGTGTGTGTTTTAATGTCATGTATAATTTGAAATCCCGATTTTGCAGGGGAACGCACGGAGATCTTATCGATACGCATGTC